CTTCATAGGCATATAGAGACAACCGGACAAGCATAAACTGTTCATATGTATTATCATGTGTGACCACCTTTTTTTTTTGGCTTCTCTGTTTATTTTAAATTTTATGAAGCTCTCGATCGACAACAGATTGGGAAAGATTACAAGCACATGTAAATTCAAATACGGACAGTCATTCCACATGTATTCTCACATATTTCGCACTTACAAAAGATAGCCCTGCGTCCCTTCAGCAGCTTTATCTTCAACTTCTTCAAGAGATACATACAAATATAAATAAATATATAATGGCATTTTGTGAGTATCGTGGTTCGTGACGGAGCAATATCTCGTATACAAGTATGCATGCAAAATCAATAATTCAACCGTCCACATCACAATCATTTTCCAGATGAGGCCACGATCCTCCTTCTCCTCAACGAATCCTTCATGAAGGGGACTACAGATTATAGTACTAGTACCAGCTCTTGCCAGTAACTATGTCTACTGACATGCATGCATGTATTCACTTTATATATTCCTAATTAAAGTTGGAATTAAGTACCTAAATACAAATTATTAATATCATTGGTCTCAATCTTTTTAAACATTCTAAATAAATACTCAATGAACCATTGACATGTCACATCCGTTAAGCCTCAGTTAATTGTCCGTTAAATGTACATGTAGCAACAATGGATCCCACTTTTTAACTTACTTGGACACTAAAATAATAATAATAAAAATAACTTAAAAAAGACAGGAAGATTAAAAAAAAAAAAAACAAATTCGCAAATAAAATGAAGAACAAAAATGAAGTTTAGGAATATCAAGCCCCCGCCACCTCCAAGCTCAAAATACAACCACTGAAATCCTATCCCAACCTTTATATTCAAAACCCACCAACTAGATAGATTATGGTCAACATTATTATTAGTTGCCGCAAAATCTAAATTTCAAACGAAGATTATATATAAATGGAACCCAATAATCAAAAGGGTATTGAATTGAATAAAAAAAATATACCCAAATTGAAAATTGCATCAGGAGGCCAATTTCCTAACAAAGAAGAGGGTTGAGAATTCAGATAGGGTTTCAAAGAGCTTGTTTATGCTCATGTGATTTCTTCATTCGTCAATTCTCGGCTCATAAAACTTCCAAGTTCTTCTTTGTTGGCGGTGAAGGTGATCGTGGCCATATCATAGCAGTCCATATTGTATCAACTACCTCCATGACCTTCCTCTCAATGTTGGTGACTTGAGTTGTAGGATGGAGTTGATGGTTGTGCGTTGAGCGTTGCACGTTGGTTTGGAGGTGATGGCCTGATGGGAGTGGGAGGGTAACCATTAGTTGGTGGATGCTATGCTTCCATGATCTTCCATTGATTTTGGAGACAAACTAAGCCCTAGTTAATATAACAGAAATTTAATTAGGGCTTAACATATGTGACATTTTTAATCAGTTAGCTACTTGTTTGGAATGTTTAAAAAAATTGAGACCAATGTAAAATGACACTAAAAAATTGAAGCTTTAGATACTTAATCTTTAAATTTATATTAATTATTATATCTCTTTGACAATTGTTATCTTCTCTCATGTGATCAGATCCTTGTCACCTCTTCACGCTTGCAGATGCTCAGCTTCTCCCTAACCTGATGCAGATATTTATTCTCCCTCCAAAGTCCAAACAACTACCCCAGGTAACTTACAGATTGAAAATGCTAAAGAGAAACTTCCCCGACCAAGCTAAACTTAAAAAAACAATGAGCATGCATGCCAAAATGTTCTTGTAGACTTTGAGGTCGGTACCAAAGTCTTGTCGATGTCAGTTTTGCCACGAGTCGAAGTTTCTACCACCCTCTTCTTGCACTGTATTACTATGTCCACTTGATAATCATCTTATTTTAGGTTTTGTTAAACGAGTGTGTGTGATTTCAGATCATTAAATAAATTGTAAATGATTCAAACATGGATTGATTTCAAATCTATTCACGCATGCGTTTGCGACTGATTGTGGCGCAACTCATTATTTTATCGTGTGGATGTTAATTTGCTTTGTCAGGTGGGTGGTGGGTACGTACATTCCATTCTTCACCTTATAAGTAGTTCGATTCCATGTAAGACTTTTGTAGATGTACACATGGGGCCGCAGGCACATGTATGAGTGTGCCTTTGCAATATTATCAAAGGACACCGGCAAAGCTTAAACGTGAAAGCCCTTCCAATGTAATATATATTTATTATATATATATATACATGTAGTCAAAGAAGTTGGTTTACGTCGAAAGTTTATATATATATATATATATATATTAATCACAACATCGTCTGTATTTGTGGAGTAATGTTGGTAAGCGTTCTGACCTTTGAAACCGGCCTCGCGCTGGGAGTGGGAGCTGTCGCTGACTTAGTAGGTTTAGGTAATAATTCATCTATTAATATATAATATAACAGACCCTTTATGCAAAGGGATTCTCATTTTTTGAAAAAAAAGAAGAAGAAGATTATGTGTGGGGTTCATTCCACATCGAATTTCAACGATCCAAATCGTTTATTTTGTTAGTCTCGATTCATAGATCATCATTGCAAAAAATCCAATTCATTATGATTTGCCTATTTAATTATCAAGATCAAATTTCATTATTTCTTATATAACAAAATATTCGTTTATTTCTTTGAATCCAATTAGATGTCTTAAATATTTCCGATTTGGTTAATATTTTGCAAGAATGATCTATGAGGTACAAGTTGAAAAATAAACAGTTCGAATCGTTAAAATTTGATGTGGTGGATATCCCATAACTAATCCCTATTTTTATAAAATAAAATAAAAATCCCTTCTTTAAGGGCTTCTTATAATATAATATAGTTTAAGTGATGACTTGCCTGAAGAGGAAGTGTACCATCAATTATTCAAATCTCTAAAATATAAAATGAAGGTCCGTATTAAAGAGGAACAGGTTACCACAAAAAATGAATGGAGAGAGAGAGAGAGAGAGAGAGAGAGAGAGAGAGAGAGAGTGTGCCAACAAAAAAAACAAAAAAAAAGGAAAAACAAGGAAGTTTGGTGAGGCTGGCAGTGCCAGTTGAACGACGAGGTCGGTCACGGGGACTGCAAATTCTAAAAGGGTTTAGGCCTCCGGGACCAACCTCAACATAAACCAGCATGAGTAAGCGGACCATAAGTGGTGATAGGCTCTCTCCCATCCCTTTCTTATCCCCCAACTATGATGGTTTCGGTGGATCATCATGATTCATGACACTAGAGGCAATATATTATGTAACAAGATTGCATGGGCCTAACTGCATGCGCAATCTAGTAAAATTTACAAAACACGACTGCTCGTTAGGGTAGTGTTCAGTGTCTGTTACAAAGATATGTGTAAGTTTTTGTTTACATGTGCTTATTTCATTAGAATATGACAACACGTGACGGTGTACTTATATCATATAACATACATGGCAGAATCATGTTTCATGAAACAAGTGTCGTACATATAACTCTAAGAATGTGAAGATCTCGTCCAAATAAGAAAGCTATGCAATCATTATAATCTTAGAAGAAGTTAAGCCACTCTACTGTTACTAATTGATTTTATGATTAGAACTTTTACTTCCTTCATGGTACTCGACCTATTGCCGATATTTTTTAAAATTGGAACTTCAACTTGTAGGCCAAGAAGAATACACAACCCCCTAATTGAGTTTTCAGGCATAGTAGCCATTGATAATTAATATTTTGACCCAAATTTAAACAACCCATAATTAGTTATTAAGATCATAAACTATATTGGCCCACCATTCATTATTCATGTTATGCTGTTTCAGTAAATTAATTCATAAAGTTTGTCGAAGAAAAGAAACCCATTTGACCTTAATGTTGGCAAGGTTCCACGCACAACTCAAAGGATTAAAAGATCAAAAATTGCTAAGAAAAAAGGGGTCATCTCAACATGAGTGGCGAATCTAATTCTACACAAGTGATGAAGTTGAAGGCCCGTCTCATAAGAGCATCTTCAAAGGAAATGTCAAAATGTACACATCACCTATAACAGTAAAAAAAAGACTACACTAATATTCTCCAATCGAAGTGTCAAATCCTATGTGGCGATGACATGGATTGGCAGCAAAAAATGTTGTTGTCAAATGTTTTTTTTTATTAATTATTAAATGTATTTTATTAATTTTTAATTAGTAGGAAGGTGAACAGATTACACCAAAGGCCTCGACGAAAATGCGATCAAATGGATCAAACAGGTACCCAAATCCTCAGTGTTCAAAAATTTTCAAAAACCCATTTCACATCTATGAGCATGGGATCAGAAATTGAAGTGCTAGAACAACAACAACAATCCCCACAAGCAATCCGATTGCCTCTTACCGAGAAACTCACATCCAACGCGTACCCAATATCGCCACTGCGCTTGGGCACCAACAACGCCACCTCTGCTGAAGTTCCACACTAGCCTGCTCGCGCCTCACAGCTTGGTTTAATTAGTTTAATAATTTATTTTATAAAATAATAATTTAATTTAACATATCGGTTGAAGAACAAAACTTTAAAAGATGTCAAAGTGCCACGTAAGCTGTCAAAATTTAAATTTTATGTTCAAAATTTAACATATCCTTTGGAGATGGTCTAACCGGTGTACATTTTATCCAAAGTTTGCCGCAATGCAACAGTTTGCATTCTGCATAGAAGCTAGAAATCGTATAAGGCTATAAGCTTATCAAGGGAAGACATGTAATTCCACACCGCCATGGCAGGTGCTAACCAAGGCAGACTCATCAAACTTGTTTGATTGCTTAGATTATGCCTCAGATTTCTAAAAATGATCGACACTTTGAACAGGGTGATGCAGGGCACCAGCTCCTCTTAGATATAAAATGAAAAACAAAACAGACAGTTAACCGGCGGGACTCGGAAGATGATTGTATAAACTATAAAGTTCCGACCAGTAATTGACAATGAAGCAACACAACTGAAAGCATGACTTGGACGAATCTACACATCCAAGTTTCGTTCAGCGGTAATGGGGTGCTCTAGTGTACGAAAAGTGAGTAGAGATTGGAACATCTGCCTCAGCTGAGTAAGAGGTACCATGCAATGGTCTTACAAGAGGATCAGCGTACACCAAGCTCTGATCCTGAAGGGTTGTGACTGGATAGTACCGTTGGTACGTTAACGTCCGTTCATAAGATGGTGCTAAAGAATGCGACTGCAACATAACATGTGAGGCTGCAGCAGTGGGAACCTCTCGACTATAAGATTCAGCCACATAATTGGAACGCGGAGCAATTTCTCTCTCTCTCCGCTTCAGCAACTGTGGCCCGTCATACTCACTTCCATAGGCAACAACTTGATCCCTGGGAACCATCTCCTCTGCAAGTGTCACCCTATGCCTGTGAAAATGCATGAGAATGTTATTTACCATACGAGCATTATGCTCTAATCAATAAAACTAATCTCTCCCACATGTGCTCGGGATGTGTGAGGATTAACTCTCACTGATGAAAATATAAGAGATTGAAAGCACTAAGTCAAGATAATGTAACTGTGGTGGTTTACCCAGTGAGGTAATGAAAATAGGATAATGAGGTAGATTTGAGTCAGTTACTGCGCTGTTTTATTTCAGGGGAAAAAAACATGACCATTAAGGAATCTCCTTTGTACAATGGAATTGATGAGATATATAATGGAGAGGGTTAAATGTAAAAAATACCACATAATAACAGCTGAAATAATTGGGTAAACAATGCAACAAATGAATTTACCTTCTATATGCATCCTGATGGGACATGTATGGTTGTTCAGGCAAGTACGGCTCATGTGTCGCTGCTAAATAATAGGAATCAGCATGACCTGGAAGAGAAGCATGCTGAACATGTCGAGGCTCTAAGCGAGGCCATACATGTCCCACGTGTGTTTCGACCTCATATTGATCATAAAGTGGATATGGGATTGCCTGCCTGGACTGCATATCAAGCGGCGATGCACGTGTACGTTGCATACCATATGAATAGGAGCCCTCTTGATGGGACAGCCTTGCTGTTGGATGAAATCCTTCTTCTGTAATGGGAGATGGAAATGAGCCTGGTTTTGCCACATCTCGGGGAGGGGCAGCAGAAGTAGGTACTGACTCGGTGAGTGGGCGAAACAATGAGATTAAAGCATGCACCTTCATCAAAAGCAAAATCCATAAGAAATTTTCCTTTAAAAGAAAATAATTTTAAGTGATAGGCAACTAGTTTCGAATAACTTTTCAATAAGGAGCTAAAAGATGTAAATGATGTTACTAACCTGTTTGCTATTGAGCTCTTGTTTAAACTTAGAACCTCCCTGATAGTTGTCTCTGATAGCTGCTTTAAAAGCATTTTCAGGAAGAGGTAAACAGTCCTTGAAAATCTTAAATCTGACCTGAATATACGAACAAATTGACAAAAAATGAAAAAAAATATTGTAAATTAAGCAAACTGCAGAAGGTCACATGTTCTGCTATCAGTAAATATACAAAATATTAATTCTGCTATCAGTAAATATACAATATACCATACAAAACACACAGGTGAAACAAATCTTCTTGAAATTTTTTAAGTAGGTCTCACAAAGTTGATGTAACATCTGAAGATTCTAGTAAAAACAAACAAGATGTTTTCAAACAGAAAAACAAGGATAAAAGACTGTCAAGTTCCACATTAATAAAATAGTTTGATGGTATTGTGTTCTAGACTTTGGTCCATCAAGCTGGACCCAACTCTTAAACCCTCTCAGTGGGTTTGTAACCAAGACTGCAACGCTGTTGTTTGGCCATAACGTCCATTAGCCCTTGCTCCCAATAACCCTTACACCTCGACTCTGTTCCACATAAAATCCTATGTCTCATTACTAATATCAGTGCACCATCATTGCAACCACCACAAGCCACAAGCGTCACCAGACACCACCACTGTCATTAATACATTCACTTTTTTTATAACCAGCTGCATCTCCGCTTGAACTATAATCATGTTCAACCTTCCACTCCGCCCTCCACCATCAACTTGTCATGACGCCTTCTCCATATTTAGAACTTTAATTATAACTTTCGGGCTCATTACTTACATTTCCAACAGTCGACAGCACATTAAAGGGAATAAACCAATAACTTTTACCACTCAAAAATGTCACATCTTGTTTCGGTTATCATAACACCACCACCACCAATCATTGCCAATCCTTCAATTGTCTAGCTCAACTAGAATACCTGGCTTAGCTCAAACAAATGAGATCTAGTCTAGAATATTAATCTTTTTAGGGTCGGTAAGGTTTCGCCCCTCAAAATTACAATTCAAGTCTGAGTTTTATGAAATTTGGCCAACTTCCTAGTCCCAATTTTTTGTTTGCCTGTCCATTGGAAGTTCATGAAACAAAATCAAAGGGAGCTCTCTTACATCCCATAATCCCTCTTCCTTTTAAAGGCTGAATGACATCCGCCAAATACAATCATGTATTTATACATACTTGCATGCATATATGGACATATATCTATGTATAGCTGTTTTCTTGCAAGACATTCCGCAATAAAAGAAATGCAGGACAAGGTCATGACTGCTGAACACAGGATGCAACCAATGCATCCAATAATGGCATGGCATCTGTTTGGAAAAGATATATACTTCTAGATAAATACAATCACACATGGACAACTTAGATACACAAAGGGTAAGAGTTTTTCTTTTGACTAGTACTAGCATCGAACAATATTATTATTATTATTATATAAGGACAAGGTCAGCAAAAAATATACGACGTATATTGTGAAATAAATGGTTATGTTTAGGAATCTTTTGTTCTTATTTTCTAGGACTAATATTTCATATTCATATAAAGCATTATTACCTGTGCAGGGAATTTCCCCTTAAACGCAATTGGTTCCAAATCCACTCCTCCATTTGAAGTTGCCTTGTATGTGCCATAAAGAAGCTTCAAGTCAAAATCATACAGAAATAGCTTTGCACCCGGTCTAATTTTTTTCACAACGTCCACCTTTGCTAATGGCAGCCCAAAAACACGATAGCGATAACATTCGGGTTTCGTCTTCCCACTACACATAAATATAAAACCGGAATGAGAGTGCCCACTATCCTTCTCATTCTTTGTTGGCCGAAGCTTTTTTCTACCAGTAGGATTAGCATGGCTAGACGAAGTCGCATGAGCAACATTGGAAGTGGAAGCGCCGCTGTTAGGCACAGGAGCCGACGTAGGTACTGAAGATGCACTTATCTTCATAGATTTCTTCTTTTTCTTCGTCAATTTCTTCTCTATCTTCTTATTCCTATCATTGTAATTTACAGCTACATCTTTTCCCTTTAACGCCTTCCCTCTTTTCTTTGCCATGGACACGCTGTTAAAGCTAAAATAATGCATTATTCTTACAATGTAATTCGACGTTATTCCATATCTAATCACGAAATGATTTCACAAAATGTAGTTGTTTCTAAATACGCTTGTTGACTCTCATATGACAATGCGATTCCTAAACATTGATCATCATATTCAATCTTAAACCCATCGCTGTATCCCTTTAATCCCCTAGTTCCTAACATGTTTATACAGGAAAAATGAAGGGAAATACAACCAATTCAACACAAGTAGCGACGAATATTTTTCAAATTTCGATAATATCCCGGTGGCTTAATACATTACTTCATAGTTCATACATTTCAATTTCAATACATCTTCAATAAATACAACTCAAGAAATCCAATTTTGATAAGAAAGATTGCAACTTGTCCAAAATCTCCCATTGCATCAATTAATTATCACTTCACCTCCTTAATAACTTAATTTTTCCATCACCCACCAATTTTAAATTAGACACAATCTTTTATCTAATTAGCTAAATGGCGATTCCATATCATCTGAAATGCTTGAATTATTCTCCAATGAATATAATTACGATAAAAAAAAGAAAGTGTTATTGGAACTCCAAAAATCTCATTCTACACTCCTCAGGTGTATTTTTCTTTTCTAATATAGAAAGTTTGGAGTGTAGAATGAGATTTTTGGAGTGCTAATAACAATTCCTAAAAAAAAACGAATATATCAATAAAATCAAATCGGAGCGAAAAGATGAGTGATTTGATCGAAGAATACCTGGAAACCGATTCCTCCCAAGATTATTATTACGCTGCTGCTGTCGTTGGTGGAGGTTGAAGACTGTGAAATTGGGGAGGCGACGCCGCGACGGGCTGAATAGGTGGGAATAAGGGGTCCGATGGCGCCTTGAAGTTACCGATGTGGTGGATGAACTACACGCGTATGCCTCAGTCCGGTTGTTGCTGTGGGAGTTTGGATTTGGCGGTACCATTTGGCAGGAAAATATGATAAATACTTGCTTTCTCAAAGGGGCTGCACAGTCCTTGGGTTGGGTGGCGTTTCTAGGCCCACAAAGTTGCCCTGTAATGTTTCGGCTTTGGGCTTCTGCTACTTTGTTACACCCATGCGATTTCGACGCACCAAATGGTTGACTCATCAGGTTTTATTATTTATTTAAAAACTATCATGAGATGGTCTACTAAAAATGAACGAATATCAGGCTCGTATTTTATACGGTACATTTTAAGTTCGATATTTTGCGTTGTGAATCACAGGAGAATGGTGAGGAAAGGCTAAAATGTTTTCTTTGAGTCTTCTTCCTTCGAAAATGTATACTGTCGTAACGAGCCACCAACTGGTCCTTTTAAAACAAATTCTGGTGTATTTTTAAAACATATGCACGGACCCATATTAACTAACTATGTTGTGGGACTAGAAAAGAGAAAACAAGGGATTAAAAAATCACTTTTTCAAAGATTATACACTTGCACGTTTGAGTTGACCAAAATTAGTACAAAGTAAATCAGTGGTAGAGCCACTTGAGGACTAAGAGAGGCTCGGGCCTATTCTGAAGTTTCTTCACTTTTAGTTTCTGTTTTTGTGTTTTTTGTTGGATACTTTGTATTCTTTGACTTATGTACTTTTCTTCTTGGCTAGCTTTATTATATTTCTCTAATTGACCAAAAAAATGTGTTTTAGAGTAGTATTGTTGTGAAACCAAATCCTTATATCAACTAGCCTTCTTTAGTTAGTCACTCTTTTGTATGATTTGTTGAAAAGTGAAACCATGCATATATGGTGTAACAACCCATTCTAAAAATAGGTTCAATTTACGATTATACCCTTGTGCTGGGTTTTGTAAATCCAGCCCAAAAGAAATATGAAACCTATGGGCTGTGTATCTGGCCCAAACTTTGGGCTTTATGACCCACCAACCCAACCCGGCCCATAGTCTCTCTTTTCTTTCTCTCCTTCTTCATTTTTCTGAAACCACATATTCGGGGTCCCAAGGACTTAAGGAACTCGGTGGTACCATTGCATGTGGGATCATAGCACTGGGTATTGCTTTATCATTGAAGCCGAGAGCTTTAAGCTTTGAACTCTAATCCCAGGTGAGATTCTCTAGTTTAATCTTCGAATATTGAAGTGTTTCTTGCCTCTGTGATGAGTTGGGGTTGAGTTTTGGTCTATCTATTCATGCATGTATGTGTTCTTCAAATTCCCAGATTTTTCAGCGAAACCCGACAGCTTTCGAGCCCATTTCTGGCCAACTCCGACCATGGTTAATCCTCAATTTGGTAAATTCTTATTCTCCTATTCCTTAGCTTCACTTTGGTTTTAAAATCATCAAAAATGGTGTAGCTTTGACCCCATATTGGAGCAGGGGAAGTTTCCAGGCAAAAACCCTTGGATTTCAGATGTTCTCCTTCATGGGGTCTGGTGACCTGCGAAGCCAATCGAGTTGACCCACTAAATTAGCCCAAAAACCCAATCTGAAACCGACCTAGTTCTTTGGGCCATCTGAACCATTAACCCAAGTTCACTAACCCTTTAAACCAAGCCCAACTCTCTTAACCTATAAGCCCAGCCTAAATCCTTTAATCCATAACCCTAACCCAAGCTTTTAGACCCGGCCCAACCCAACAACCCAAGCCCAGATCTGACCCATTGACTGGCCAACGTTGACTTTTTCGGGTTTCGGCCGGGACCCTTCATAAACTAATTTAGACATCATGATTCCAAATCTACACTCCGTTTTCACAAATTCAATCATTTTGGTAGTGTTTTATTAAATAGTCTCTATTTGTATATAGGTGCAATGGTAGAAGGTGATCCAGTCCTCACTAGTTCAAGCAGCTCCCCAAGAGCGGAGTATTTGTGAGTGAACCCTTTCTCAAATGAATATTTTATAACTACCAGTCTAGCATGCATTTCCTATTTCATGATTTGAGTATGTTTTATATTATGCTTTGCTTTATGGATTTCTACATTATGATTTATTTAAATTATGTTTTATGAAACGTTCTAAACTTTTGGTTTTACACTTAGAAAAGGTTTACGACTATTTCTTTATTGCACTATGAGATATTACGGATTTATGAAATATTATGAACTTTGGTTAATTTACGAAAATGAATTGTTATGGATTTATTTGATGAGAAGTTTAGCTTTTGAGCTTTGGTATTTTGACATGAGTTTTAGAGATATGTTTTCATTGATATCTAGTAGGTTATCATACGGCACATACACACAACACGAGTATAGTCTATGGCCATAAGACACAGATGAGGATACTTATGTTATACCCCCAGCTTCACTGGCAAAACCAGTGTTGGACAATTTTACTAGCCAAGGCTAGTGTCGGTGTGTTTGCTATATATAGATATGTTTCTTCTCCAGCATAACCTGGAGTCGTACAGCTTCACCTTCAGGTAATGGACAGGTACTTCTTTCGAGCGACTTTGATACCCCTATAGAGTATAGTTTTTTATGGGATCTATGGTTTTGTCTTCAGGCATTTCGAGATCATGTTTTAGGGATGATTTTACATTTTCGAAACATTTCCTGCATGCTAGAGTTTTAGAGAAGCCTATACATAGTATTATATATGTTTTTAAAACCAGTGGTTATTATGTTCAGAAAGAATTCGGGTTTTCAATATTATTATTAGTATAAATATAATTATGGTCCACTAACCTTTTCTGTTTTGCACCCCCTCAGCACATAGTGACGAGGAGTACAACCCGAGTGTCGAGGCGTTTCCCTACGAGTGTGTTTGAGCCCAAAATATTATTTTAGGCCAAGCTTAAAGTTATTCTTTGCCCAGTAGCATTCGTCTAGAATCTTATTATAGGTCGTCCAGTCGTGGTCGGTCGAATCCTGTTGCAACAAGGATTTGTGTAACAACCTATCCCGATTTTATCGGATGTAGGGGTATTTTCATGAAATTTGCACCTTGGGTTAGATATTTCTCTTTTAAAATTATTTTTGGGTCTTAATAGGTGTGCCCAAGGGGCCCACCTTTTGTTTGTTGTTCCCCGGGTCCAAGCATTTCACCTTTCTCTCTCATCTCCTTCTCCCCGAGCTTTCTCTCTCTATCTCATTTCTATCTTTCTCCCTCTAAGTGCTATTCTCTCCGAGAAGAACACACACACGCACCCATACATATATACACACAACCATCACAAGGACTTCACCATCATCTTCATCTTTCTTTCCCTCACCTTCAGTATCCGTCTCGGCATTGTGCATAATCACTATGCATTAGATCTTCAATGACGTAAATGCAAAGCACACCTAAATCTCCTTAGATCGTGCTTATTATTGTGTTTAGGTAGTATTTGAGTTGTTCTGATACAGTTTAAACACCAAAATAACTCGAGAAAACGTTTTCCAGATTTTCCAGCGAGGTCTGACGGCTTTTGAGTCAATTTTCGGCCAAACCACGACTAGTTGGCCGGCATGGAGGTATCAATCTCTTCATCTCGCTGAGTATTACAACTTTCCTTTTTGAATCATCCAATTTCGTTGAGTATTGAAGAAGTTATATCAATTTGAATCTTACCAGTTGCCAGCAACCTCCGAGGCTTTCGAGGTATTTTTCGACCAAACCATGGCGAGTTAGATGTCATGCGAGGTACCATTCTCTTCGTCTGGTCGAGTACTACAACTTCATTTTTTGTCTCACTTGATTTCGTTGAGTTTTGACAAAGTTATAGATGTTTAAAGTTGACTCAGTTTTTCGACGAAAAACCTCAAATTTCAGTGTTCTTCTACGGTTAGCTCCGATGAGCATCAACCACACCAGGCCTTTAAGCCTTTAGCGCTGGCTCTCTTTACTAACCCAAGCTTTTTAGAACTCGGGCCTTAGGCCCGTTATCTTTTTAAACCCAACCCAAATCCTTTAATCTATTTATATTTATTTATTTAGTTTTATAAAAACCCAAACGGCTGCTGGGCCAGGCCTTCAGCCTAAGGCCCGTTAGGACTAAACCCAAAACCCTTAGAGGCTTAGGCCTTAGGGCCATGTAGGAGCAGGTCTTCGGGCCTTTGCATTCAAGCCCAAACCCTAGGGCCTCCAGCCCGTTAACCCCTTGAAGCCCAAACCCAATGACCCTTTTATTTTCATTTATCTTAAAGCCTTAAACCTTTTTTCCCTTTTGGGCCGGGCCTTAAGTCTAAAACTTAAAACCATTTGGACCCAAGCCCAAAGCTCAAGCCCAACTCAGATCCAACCCAAGCCTAGGGCCGTTAACTTTGACCCGATCTGACCGTTGACCAGAGTTGACTTTGACTTTGACCGATCAACGTTGACTTTGACGGTTGACTTTTTGGGTTTTCGTTCGGGACCCCTTCTAGGCTAATTTCGACGTCCTGAGCCCATTTCTGATGTCTGTTTTCCCAAAATAAGTCTTTGAGTAGAGTTTGACTAAATGTACCCTTTATGTGCTTATGGGCAATTTATTGTGGCATTCTGTCTCTGCTAGTTTGCGTGGCTCTTCGACGGCTAAGTATCTGTGAGTGGACCCTTTCTAAAAATGCATGTTTTGATAGTAGAAATGCATACATGAAAAACATGATTTGATGACTATGTTTTATGAAATGTTTTATGAGATAACATGATTGCTGAGGCTAGTTTGAATTATTACTATTTTTCCTATAACCCGTGTTCTTATATAATATCCGATGGATGACGATATGATATTTAGAACATGTTTAGAACACCTCGTTATAATATAGATGATGGGTGACTTTATACTATGAAGTTGTTTTTCAATATATGTATGTTCAATGGTTTTGTTACCTAATGGTCCCTATTTCGCTACGGGACGTAGGGATATATTCTGATCCGTCCCGGGCGACGGTTTGGTGCTGGCATAGGGCCTGGAATGTGTTTACTCTGGCTATTAGCACAGGGACGGGAGCCGACATGGGGCCTGGAGTGTATTTTCCTCTGATTGTTTGCTAAGAGACGGAGAGCCGGCATGGGGCTTGGGGGTTATCGGACATTCACTAGTGATTATTATATATACAAGTTATGATTTGAAACATTGCACGACATGCTAGGTTTCGGAAAACCTATGTTTATCATGATATATATGTGTTTTCATAAAACCTAGGGGTTAGTACGTTGGTAACTATTTTATATATATATATATATATCAACTTGGTCTACTCATATTTGTTTTGCGCCCCTTTCAGGACTTAGAATCGAGGCATACTATCCCAGCGTCAAGGCACTTCCGCATTGGCATCTTCGAGTCCTCTCTCTGTAGGATCCATCCTTTGTTTCATTCAATTTTATATTATTTCTTTTAGTGTTATAGTTAGTTGTATGCTCTGAACACGTTCCTTAAATGCATATTTATTATTCTTTTATATTTATAAGCCGTATATACCCCTTATTTTCAGCATTTGCACTCAATAAATGACTTTCGTCATCTTCGGGTGTCAGCCAACACGTGCTTATCCTGGTATTCGGGGAATATCGGGATCGGGGCGTGTCAATTGGTTTAGATAAAGGTGAGGTAGTCAAACCCTAGTGCAACAAAGAGTCTTAAAGCTGAAGATGCTTAGTATTAGGGGATGAATCTGGTTCATTATGGAGCTTGGTTCAAAGTCCTATTGGAGTTAGGATTGGTTGAACCCTAATCAGATTGGGTTGAGGAATTCTAATCCGAATACATTTCTAGTTCGGCCATGAAGAGGGTTTGCTACAATAAATAGATACGAGAGTCCATCATTCAAAGCCCCTTCAAAATCAACACACAAATTGCCATGTGCAAAGTTTCTCAACAACCCTTGAGATTTCACCCTCTTCCTTTTTCTTCCCACTATCACATCTTCAGTTTGGATAAACAATGCTGCTTCGAGGGTGACTAGTTATTATCTAAGTCTCGATCGACAAGGATTTTCGAGTCCTTGTTGGTAGAGGTCATCTCATTAGTCTTCTAAAAAAAGTGAGGTGTTATCAGGTTACTAGGCTCGACACATTGAAAGCTGAGTTTTATTTTATGATTGGGTATTCACAAGTGCGTTTTAGAATTCGACATTCTGACGGCCAAACCACATTTACCATCAAGACATTTATCTCATTCGAGTATTTATGTCTGTATAGTTTGGTGCCAATTCGGTGTGCTTATACTCTTATGAATATAATTACCTTGACCGAACCCGGCACTAACAATTTGTGAACTTCGCAGGACTAGCAGTTTTGTCTTCAAACTCTAGAACCCGAAGGCCGAGATGTGTTCCTTCCTTGGCCGCAGTCATAAGATCAAGAAGTCAGCAGCGCACTTAATGCGACATCAACATATTTTACTCCCTAGCCGAACTCGGCCGTCGAGTTGGCACCCTCTGCACATAACCGAATGACTTAGTTAGCTTATTAGTTACTTGGCCTGCTCGCCACGTAGGCTTGATAGTTTTTAGGGTCAACATAGTGACTTAGCGATCTTCCATTTGTGTATGATTTCCTTATGATGTTTTGTAAATTTGAATTCTTATCTACTCTCGTACTTCTATGTTAATAGTGTGATCTGGACATAATTACGTGTCTTTTGTTTCGGAATCTTATTTATTGTCTTTCAGCATTTGAATATTCAGAATCATTGTTATTTGTTTATGACTTTTGATATTCAGGTTATTATATATTCTTAAGTATGTATGATTTTATGGATTTTGTCACTTTCGAGTGTTGGCCATCATGTGTCATCCTGGTATCATTAGGATATCTGGGTTGGGGCGTGTCATATGGCATAGAGGAAGAATTTTTTATCAGTTTGGTGCAGTAATTTTTGTTCAATTTCAATGCAGGAACTTAAAAAGAAGTTTGGTGTTTATGATATAATTATCTCAATCTTTTTTTTTTTTTTCACAACTTCATTCCTCTCTTTTGATTAAAATTTTCCATTCCACTACAAAAATGAACTTTTCTCTCATTAATTATATTATTTTTTGTCCAATTTTTTTGATACTTAAAGGCTCATGCTAACTTCGATTTCTGACTCCACCATTGAAGTAAACCACGTAACAAAATTAACAACAAAAACCACAGTACCCCAAGTGACAATGATCATAAATCATACACTTGTGACCTTTTCGGTAAAGAAAAAATTTGGTAATTTAGAGAGTAAAAGTACATTTTATTTTATAAAGTGATATTTGAGAGAGAATTTCAACTAAGCCACTAGGAATGAACTAGTTACAATTACTTTACTTGTATGTAATTGAACTTGAAACTCTCTTAAAGTGAAACTTTTAATAAATTATCTGCTACTTCACAGTTGAATGTTAATTTTCGTACCAACATTATAAACATTGTACTAAAAATATGAGAGGATAGAGTTATACTCTTGAAAATATCTTTATTATTCCTTAAATAAATAATACCAAACCACGCCTGAAAAGTACAATTAAAGAAATGGATGGGCATGAAATTGAAGCATGCATGTAAATTTATGTGGTGAAGTGAATGCGTGACGAAACCGTAAAAACAAGTCGTCGAAAGTAGAAAACTGACATCCCAAACAGAAAGAAAACGTCACTAAACTCAACACGCTGGACTCCAACGCGAAGCGAATCGTTTTCCCAATTCCTTCTTGGTATTCCTTCTTGGTACTGCTAGTGCTAGGCATCAATCGTCAAGTAAAATCCAGAGAAGAAGCAGACGGCTGTCACTCCACTTCCATATTCCAATTCGATCCCACACCCTGAGCGCACGACGCCGTTTCACCTCTCGGTATGCCCCTATACACTGATATGTCAGCTTCGTTGTATTCACCTCAATTTTACTTCTTTACTGCTAATTTCAATTGTATCCCGCCAGTAGATTCTTGGGTTTTATTGGGTTTTAGCCACAAATCATGAGAACCCCTGTTTCTTTCTTTAATTCTTGTTTTTGATCAATTGATTTAGACTAACAAATTTACAGAATGCTGGAAAAAAGAGTTCAAACTTTTGATTGGTATTGGAATCTTGGTAGTATTGGGTGTTCAATTACGATTGAAATTTGGATAATTGAAGTGATGGAAGAATTAGGGTACGGATTTTTTTGAAATGTGAGTGTTGTTTGTTGCTGTTTGTGTGAATAGAGAATGCAGAATCAGGATGGGGTCCAAGTCGATGGGGAAGTGGAGTCTGCAGCATCGGTTGCAACACCCGAGTTTGATGAGTGGGCAAATTTTGGGGACCAAGATATCATGCAGCAGCACTCTGCGATTCGAGCCGAGGAGGCTGAAAAAATTCCCTTCCTGGGGAACAAGGCAATAATCGAAACTACTGACCTACCATTTAGTTAATTTCTTGCAATCGGGTTTTGACCCTTTTGTTATGTGATAAATCTACAGGAACCTCTATCATCACTGGCGGCTGAATATCAATCGGGCAGCGCTATCTTGTTGGAGAAAATAAAGGTTTTCTTTCATTTTTTCTAACATTTACCCATATGGGATTCTTATGGAACTAATTATAACTATCCTTATGCAGGTTCTTGGTGAACAATATGCTGCTATTCGGCGTACACGGGGAGATGGCAACTGCTTCTTCCGAAGCTTTATGTTTTCGTACCTTGTATGTCCTTGTATATATACTCCTTGAAACTGCTTTGATTTTTGTATAATGGGGTGTCTAACTGTTAGCTTCCTGCTGGATGCAAGAATGTATTCTGGTTTTTTTGCTGTTAACAATATCTGAGCTGTCTAAATAGGAGCATATTTTGGAATCACAAGATCAAAGTGAGGTTGACCGTATCAAGGCCAATGTTGAACAATGCAGAAAAACACTTCAAAGCTTGGGTTATGCAGACTTTACTTTTGAGGATTTCTTTGCGGTAACTCTTTTATTTTCATACTTACACTTTGTATAATTGGTTCATTCATTTCTTTTTTGTATTACGCTGATGCATTTCTGATATTGAGTAAAGCCACCGACTTTATGTGTTAACCCTTTTTGTTTTCAACATGGTTTTACGCTGTTGAGATGAATAAGAATTTTGTATGATCAACTATTGGAAGTCACTGATGATTTAAACGTTATATGTGATATCTCTGCACCATGTATTTTATGCATATAGTGCATGGAAGCACATATATCTTGTTGATATATGGGATTTCAATGACTCCGGCATTACATCATTTTTTATTAACATTCTACCACTTAAATATACTAAAGCTAATAAATGCATGCTTTGAGAGGTGATTATAGGATCTAGAATCTGGTTGTCATCTCATAAAGTGTGCTTATAAGGCCGTGGTCCCAATACATGTGGGTGATACATACAGTACAGAAGTATCACCATATTGTTCCAGTTAGTTGCATTTATTCCTGTTCACAAAAACAAAAATTGACCAGACTATAAAAAGTCTCGAATATATAACTCTTAAAAGAATGCTATGATTTCTAACTCCAAGTCGAAAAAATTTCAGTTATTCCTTGAGCAGCTGGACAGTGTTCTTCAAGGAAATGAAGAATCTATAAGGTGCGGATAGTTCTTTTACTTTGGACATTTTTTGACAATTGAAAATCGGAAGTAATTTGATGCTAGTTCTGAGCTGTGTGCATAACCGCCATAAACATGATTTTCTATTTCTTGCAGTCATGATGAACTCATACTTAGGAGCCGAGATCAGTCAGTATCTGATTATGGTGAGTGGCTTTATATGACACAATTCTTAAGTGTGCTATTTTATCTCTCTATTACTTGACACACCTGACATATTTGGTTGGTTAGTTGTGATGTTTTTTAGATTTGTTACCTCGGGTGAAATCAGGAAACGCTCAGAGTTTTTTGAGCCTTTTATATTGGGATTGACCAATGCAACCGTAGAGCAGGTTTGTTCAATGAAATTTGTTCAGCCATCTCTCAGTGCATGATTTTATTTATTCTTGATAGAGATTGTTCTAGTTATTTTCTTTGAGGTACCACACTATGTTTCTTGGGAAAGAACATGAAGATGATTAAACCATATTAATATAACAAATAGTGATGTATTTTCAATATATCTGTGAAGAAATGGTGGTCCCTTTGCTTCTTATCTACATTCTCTGTGTCGGGCCGTGGTGCTAATTTTGTGATCTGCATTAAATTACTAAGGGATCGTTTGGAAGTGCTTTTAAAATGATTGAAAGCGCTTTTGGAGAAATGTTTTTGGGTTCCAAAATCACTTGCATTTTTGCTAAGGATTGCTTCCAAGCTTCCAAACGAGCTCTTAAGTCTTGTGTGGTTGCAAGTCAAGTCAGTCTCGTGGAGATGGTTTATTTCTGCGAATCACTTTGAGATTTCCATGGTTATTAGCTTAAGACTGTAGAACAACAATGTTAATATTTGATCTCTCTCCCTTTGTCTCCTTATCATATGTGATTTGTCTTCATATAGTTTTGCAAATCGTCAGTGGAACCGATGGGTGAAGAAAGTGACCACGTGCACATCACTGCCCTGTCAGATGCACTGGGTGTGCCAATCCGTGTTGTGTACCTTGACCGTAGCTCATGTGATAATGGTGGTGTTAGCGTGAATCATCATGATTTCATTCCTGCTGGAAGTGATGCTCTAAAAGCTAGTGAGGGCTCTGAGAAAGTCAGTCCCTTTATTACCTTGCTTTATCGCCCAGGTCACTACGATATTCTCTACCCAAAGTGATGCTCTCACCTGTTCCTGTAAGTACATCTTTGCATTGTTTATTAGAATGTTGAAATCTTAGCTTACATGCTGCGGCTTATCGTTATCCATTTTGGGGTGGGGTTAAGTTGAGTTTGTTTACACCTTACAGGCAATTGGCAATGTCCGGGTTAGTGATCGAGACAAGCTGAATGTGCTGACAAGAGTTTGATGCTATAAGGTAAAAGGCCGAAGCTCTCATTTAGTTGGAGAATGTAACTTTGCTCTGAACTGTTAAAAGTGAGTGAGGCCAGAAACACAACATTTGCCTGAAAAAAATTGGGAAATCAGTTTAGGACTTGCCAACTGTAAACGAGCAGGACGTAGTTTCATCATCGATAAGAAATTACAATTTAAAAAGTGACTGTTTCGTCTGTAATGGATGTTTGCAATTTAAAAAGTAACCTGTTGTTTGATTCTGTAATGGATGTTTCTTCATTCGTACGCATGCTTGAGGGTTCACTAAGTTAACTTTATGCCCTAATCATATTAATTCAAGGTCTTAGCTTTTTGTGAAATTTACGGCTATGTTGTAGATATGTATCGGAAGAGTGTTTCTTCACATATGCTGTATCCAAATTTCAATTTCATACGACGAAAACATTTGGAAAATAAATAAGTGAAGGTTGACGAATAACTGCTGTATCTTGAGATTAACCCTAAACTGTCCCGGACAAGGCAAATTTTGTTGAATCAGCGGTAACTTTCGCGCTACGGATAGTGAAAGAGAGATATACAAGCCGAAGTACTCAAACCCAACGTGAGTTGAGTACTTCGACTTGTTAATGTAGAACGTTCATCGCAAGCAACCACCAGTCGCCTCGATGTGCGAGTGGAGGGCCGTCGATGAGCGATTGGCAGTTTCCGATGAATTATACGAATACAAGAATAATGAGTTTTGATTATTCAAAAATAAAAATTAAACACTCATATATTAATAGTTACATATGTGCTCCCCAAAAGAACTAAATAACACAAACCAGAAAAGAAAAAGTACAAAACGGAGTAGTTATTAACCTCATCAAACCGCAGTTTACAATCTCTTCTTCCAGCTCAGAAACTCCTATACATACAAAACATTTTTGTTTCTCTTAAAGTAAATACTCTTAAGATCATCCAAAATTTCGACGCTCCAGCCGATGTTCCTTTTCTTCTTTTCGTCTTTTGTCCTAACTGTTTCGGAATTAAAAAGAAAAATGGTGAAAAAAAAACTGGAAAATCGCTTAGTTTTGGCTAAGCATTCGTCCTCTTAAGGTTTCAACGGGCTTGTAAAAACACCGCAAGATCTTTCCTCGGCCCTCTCTTTAGCCACCCAAAATATGCGTCGCCAAAGTTCAGGGTGGAAGCAAATTAGAACTTCTGTACTGTAAGGTTAGTGCCTGGAAAAAATATGCGGCGCTTAGTCTGATTCCTTGGCAGAACCTGCAGATGTCTCTCCGCTGTAAGAATGGTCCTCGTCTCCAAAACTTGGTGGACTTCCTACATGGCACTCCTCGTGGGTGACTGTTCGAGCTTTTCCAGGTCGTGTGCGAACATTAACCCCCATTGGGAAGGGCACCTGTTGATCAAGAACTGTCAGCATGTAATCTCTCCATCTCACATATTACTGTTATTCTCTTATTATTATTTGGATATATTTAAGGGAAGTGAATCAGGCCTTTTTTGGCTTCTCACACACCCTTCTTCAATTCTAACCACTGGATTGAATAAATCAAATGGAATCAACGGCCAAGATTAAACAAGGGTGTGTAAAAAGCTAAAAACGGGGTGTTCATCATTTCCCTATATTTAAAATTTGAAGTTGCTCCATTTACTTCCATTTGAACCGGGTGTGTGAGTTCTGTCACCATCAGCATACCTGATCACCGGCATTTGGGCCACCAGTATTGAAGAGAATGGGACGACATCGCTTATCCTCATTCATCAAGCTTGAGTTCTGGAAATGTGCTATCAGAGCAGCTTTTCCCTGAATTCGAGCATATGCAAGTGATGCCACCTTCTCACTGTTGAACTTCTCCCATTTCTTCCCGTTGAATGACTGAAAAAATTGGACACTTATTTAACTTTGCATATTTGTTTTATCATCTTAAAGCTTTACAGAAAACAAACCTGATAAAATGGAACGATCATTTGAGGATCGGTCATATTGATGAACGCATATCCCACATTGCATTTGTTCTGCAACAGATATGAAGACCATGTTCATCATACTGCTACAACTGTGAAATTAATATATCTGAAACCATATCACAGAAAAATAACCCAGACATGAAGTCACTTGCCTTAAAATCAATTGGTAAATAAATGAAATCATAAGTTCCTCGATGGCGATCATCGATTGCAGCCAATAGCATCTTTGAAGTATACCTGTCGATTCAAACACATTGATCCGAGAATTATTTAAGTGCCAAGAAAGTAAAAAAAGAGCCATTAACAAAGATGAACTTTCTTTCTATTCAGAGTCGCTTACTTGTTGGGAATGTTCTTTAACATAAGTGTTGTTCGGTTGTCTTCTCCTCGCATGATGCGATCAACATCAAGTTCATACTGCTTTTTATTGTCACCTTGATTAACACTACCTTCATTTCTACGACTTCTTGCACGCTCAGTAGGCGGATCAAAGGCATTCATCATGGGAATCATCTGGCCTCTTCCAGGAAACATCATGCACCTCTGATGATGGGCTTGCAGTCCTGCATTTTTGTGGGCAATTGGCAGGTCCATGCTGTTTCCACCAACATGGGGGAACATGTTATGAGAAACAAATTCCATTGAATGTGGTAGGTTATTTGAGATTCTCATATTCCCAAGAGAGCCTGGATGAAGCCCAGATGCCTCGGGGGATTCTCCTCCATATGATTGTCGTCTGTCCCACAGAGAAGGAATAACCACTGGTGCTGACCCCACATGATGGTTATGTATAGGCAAACCTGGGTTTAACATGTGAGATGGTGCTCTAGGAAGTCCATGAACACGTGTTGGGGGATGGACTGCAGAAATGGGACGAGCTGAAGAAAGTCCATTGGCAAATGATGGTGAGTTCGGCCATATCATTCCGGGAGGCTGAGGGTGATAGGAGTTGTTCCATGCATATTGATGTCCAGGAATAGGGCAGCTAACATTACCCGTAGAGCCAAAAACTGAGGAAGAGAGCGTAAACAGAGGATCAAGATAAGAAAACTTTCAATCCGAAGAAAAATAAAGGAGTGTGCAGTTTGTTAATCATCCACTTACCACCTTCATTTAGTTCAATTGAGTGCCCCTTGGAGCCTACTCTGGGGAAGTTCCTGTTATCAATTCTTTCTGGTGGTCTGGCATTGATACTTGCAGATACATTGCCCGGTGAACTGCAGTTGACCGAATTAGTTAGACCATCATGATACTCTGGAAGTGAATGAGGATGGAAGGCTGGCGAGCCATGGATGTCAAAGTTCAACGAGCCTGGTGAATGAACGGACTCAGCAAAGCCAGACTGATTCCCAACTGATTCAGCTCTCAGAGCAGTAGGTAAGCTGTTAGGAACGCTAGAAGAGACCCCATAGGTGGAATGCGTTTTCAAGGGACACAGCTTGTGTTGCAGCATGTACAGCCATGATACTTCCATTATCTGTGCAACTGGATGTAACTGATCCATGTGGAACTGGGCTTGTTAACGACTCATTATGAGACCAAATAAAGCTAATATGTGCTTCTAAACTGGATCTGACCATGATTTTTAGACAAATACTTACCAGAAAATCCAGTGATAGCGTCAGGAGGGCTAGTCTGCTGCAAGTACAGGCCACATTCATCTTGCTCTAACAAATCAGGAGATAAATGTATCCCCAAGCTGCAATGTGAAAACAGAAGATGAAAAGAAAATTAGTGATTTTCTAACACTGCTCGAGTAAAAAGAAACGCAGAAAATAAATACAGGCAATGAAGCAAAGTTATTGTGTAGGACAATACCTCCGTCTTGCACCTCCAGGACGGCTTGGCTCAAGCTTAATTTGCTTCCCAGCAATTTCACTGTTGTTTAAGGCATTAAGAGCAGCGTTTGCAGCTCTAATGTCATAAAATTCAATAAATTTATGATGACTTCTGCTTGGGGTTTCACGGATCTGTAATCCAGGTTCAAGAATGACAATGCATTAGAACTTATGCTTTTGCCACAAACAACTATAACAAATGGAAAAACATATTCACCTCTTTGATTTCTCCATATACACCAAAAACCTGGTATAATTCATCATTTGAAACAGAAGAATCCAGGTTAAATACTACAAGGGTGCCCTGATTAACATCTTTCTCAGAAGAGTTGTCCTGACAATAGATAACCCACGTAATTAGCCATATAAAATGTGCATGCATGATATAAAGCGATTTATAGATTACCAATAAAATTCTCCTATGTAACAATAATCATGAAAAATACTGACTTCTCAAAGGAACCAAATGCCCAGATCTAGAGGGATAACATTGTGGGAACTCACCTTTGGAATCGAGTAATGTATGTCAAGCTTCCGGCGCCTCAATGGTTTATTCTGCAGTGATTTCATCGCATTACGAGCTGCTCTAATGTCATAAAAGGATATCATAACAAAACCGCGATGCTTGCAGGCTGTATAAAGAGTGCAAATGTCTCCATATTGCTGCATATTCCAGTTATCAAAATTTCAGTACTCAATGGCCAAAGAATATGTAATGCTGAAAATAAATACAAATCCCACAACTACGACATCCAGCATACCTCAAACAGGGTTCTCAACTCAGAATCTTCAATGTTACTGTTTATATTTCTCACGAACAACGTCCGGGAAGGATGTTCACCATAAGGGTGTTCTCCAATTACTGAACCATTGCATGGCAGACCATTAGAAACTTCTCCAGGATACTCAGAGTCCTTTAATCCAGCTGCCAAACCATCATCTCCCAAATCCATCCCTCCAACACTGCTAAAAAGGTCCAACTCCTCCATATCATCCCTAGCACTGAGTTGGACCGTATAGTCAAGTCCATCAGTAACTCCAGAAAGCAACTCGTCATCATTAGGGAGGAGGTTTCCGATGGTTTGGGCCTCAATTTCTTCAAGGGATTCAAACACTTCCTCTTCATCATAGTGGGAGGCAACCGTATCAACAGAATGGCCATATAGTACATTGTTCGACGACAATCTTACTGCATCAGAAAATTTTCATTTTCAACAAAAATCACATAGAAAGTAAGCAACGAAACTGAATCAATTAAAGAATCCACAGCCTAGAACAGAGTTGATACAGCAGAATGGCAATATTGTTTGACAATATTCTCACTGCACCGGAAATTCAACAAAAATCATATGGCAAATATGCAATGAAACTGAAGCCACCAAAATAACTACAGCACATAACACATAATTAGCTGGCACTGGAAACAGAACTGCACAGAAGGAATACTGAAGTCAGAAGACTTACACTTCCTACTCATTAGCTCCGACAATGAACTTGAGAAAAGGCTACTCTCATACTGAGCTCCCATCATATCGACTTTACCATCTTCTCCAAAATAAGATGCTGTTGCAACATTTACATTAGATCTTGCTCCTGAATCATGGTTCATGGTTCTTGACAAGTTCAAGGAATGACTTAAGGCTCTCTCTGCTCCCACTGCTTGTCTATTGAAGACAGGATGCACTTTCTGGTCTCGCATAATAAAAGATTCAGAATGGTCCAGAGACTTCACTGTCTGACACTTCTCCAGAGACGATGAAGCGAGTGACTTCTTACTAGCTGTTCACAAGATTAGAATCAGTACTTGCTCCTTAATAGAAGCAAAACTCATTGTCAAAATGAAAGGGCATAACATATAAACTTCTTTTTTCCAGGTACAAAAAGGGGGCGGACAGCTCTAATTCATACAGATGGTATTGATTCAGGAATTACTACATAATTACCCATGAATTACCCCAATAGAACTAGAGTTATTAGTTGTGATCGAACTCAGGATTGAGGGGACACTCTGTGACAACCTATTTTAATTATAGGCTATTAGGCATGAATATGAAAATTTCTAAATGTGTTAACGAGATTGAAAACATGGACTCTTCCTAATCAATAATATTAGATTCGTGGGAGAAAGACGTTTCAGAAAAGGCAAAAGGTTATGAAATAAATATTATCCACACCCAGAATCTCATATTGAATCCACTCAACATTGCAGATCTACAACTAATTAGCTGAACAGAAAAATTGATACTGCAACCATCCTCTCATTCATTCCTCCACTCCTTATCTTTATCACTGTAATCATACATTTCATCTTGTGGATCAACACCATCAAGTCGTGCTCATCACCACTCCCATTGCCTGCTCAAAATTCAGAACTATTTCTCTTAACAACAAAACAGACCCTCACATTGAAATCCCTATCAACACCCCATATCCCGTATCTCTTTTCAGGAAAGGTAAGAATAACTTCTGAAAACTAGAGGTCAATCCAGTTACTGAATAAGTAACTAAGATGATTACTGGCACAAAATTAATTTTCGGCATGAACACAAATGGAAACTTTTGATTGAAATGGTAATAAAAAGCACTAACGGAAACTTCTTGACAGGTTGGATGCCAAGAAAATACAGACGATTATAACTGTCAGGTAATTTCTCACAGCTGTGGATTAATTGAGATGGCATCTTAGTTCAACAATCTTATGGTAGTTTCTTTTCACCAAAAATAAATATTCTCACAATTAATTATTAACGCCCTCTAACCGAATGGTTTAACAAGTTTGATAAGAATTAAAAAGGTGAGACTGCAAACGAATGCAAGTTATAGATTGGTGGTACTGACCATGATTATCAGGCAAGTTATCTGACTTCCAAAATCCAACCTGCCTCTGCCAAAATTTTCAACACAGAGAATAAATAAAACTAGAACTCAATGAAGAAAAACGAACTAATAAAGCAGTTCTTGTTAATATGATAAAACTTCACATTCTGTAATCGACGCTCAATTTTACTGCAGATGGGAACAGAAGGATGCACAATTGTTGGTTCCTTACCTCATCGGAGAAGAACGACGAGGAGGACAAACCCTTAAGGTCCATTATCTCAGATGGCATGACGAAAATTATACTGCACAAACCATATATATATTTCAAAAAAATTCAAAAAAAAAAAAAAAAAAACCCTCCATCTCCAGCAGCCACGTCCAAAACTTACTCAAAATTATCCTTCCATCATTAAAAAATAAATCTAGCACGCCAAAAATCACAACAAACTTTGACAATTTTGATACGCTTCTTGGAATTACGGTGAATTTATAAGCTGGAATTTGAAGAGAAAACAATCTACAAGTGGAATGAGCTCAAGATCTCGAACAAAAGAAGCTAAATTATGAAAAATTTAGCGAAATCCAAACCGCATTTAATAAAATATAACTAAGAATCCTAAACAATCACACAATTCATTTAGTACCAAATCCGCGAGAAATTCACACGAAGATCAGCGAGATCACGAGCAACAATAATTAAACAAATTAAAAGGAAAATTAAATCACTCAGGCGAAAATTGGAGGCGGAATTCAGCTCACCTATGAAGTTGCTGAGCCGCCGACGTAATCGATCAGACGACGAACAGACGAAAGCGGACTTCGAAATCACAATTGGAGTAAGAAATCGATGCCGGACACCAGACGGAGGAACACAGAGAGAGAGAGAGAGAGAGAGAGAGAGGGAGAGGGAGGAGAGAGGAGAATTTAAACCGAGGATGCAGAGGAGGAGGGAGAGACGAGGAGGATATAAAAAATGGAATAAATTACGGCATAAGGCAAGGGGATTGGAGAAGGGATCATCTAGGCATCTGTGCCGTGTAAGATCCTCTTAAGCTTCTTTGATGCTCTTTTTCCCTGCATTGCACGCCAACCATTTTTTTTCTTCTTTTCTTTATGCCTTCTTCGTTCAACTCGCTGCACGTTTTCTCCTCCCTCTCCTGCTCTTTCAGCTCCGCCGGTCGTCGGAATCTATGGAATTCTCCGGCGAGATGCGGAGCCCTCCCGCCAGAGAGAGAAAGAGATGGATTTTTTGTGGCCCTTTTTGCTGGGGAGCGTGGTGTTTGGATTCTTCTGTTTTTTTTTTTCCGGGCAGACGGAAGAGAAATAGAAAGCCGGACGCACTTGGACCAGGCTCCTAAAAACACGAGAGAGAATTTTGGGGGGAGGTGGCCGTTAAAACTGTTTAACGGCGTTAAATCCCAATCCGTTGTGTGGCCTCGGTAAAGGAGGGGCCTTGCTGGGATTGGAAACTCTTTCTCTGTCTCGATGACACGCTGGCAAGAAAAGGCTCTGAGTTTGTGTGGAGCCGGTCACTTGTGAAATGACGAAATGCCCTTCCGTTTTGAGATTGACTGTAGAAACGGCTATTACTTTTTAGGTAATTTAGTTGGACGGGGTCCACATGGAACAGACAGGCGTTTGGGCCCAGGGCCTGGATGGTAATTTCGAAAGAATACTTACACATAATGTACAAATAATGCTACACTTATTATATATTTTATATTATAATTATCTCTCTAATAGAGGTAGGATAAATTGTCACATGTGGGTTCAACTTTATGAGAGAGGTAATACAAATATGATAGTAGTAGCATTTTTTATAATAGAGATCTATTATTGTGACGTCATCGACTGATAATATAATCTTGTGCAATGATATTGTCGTATTAGTGTTTCAAAAAAAAAAAAAAACATTGAATTATTGATTGAAGACGTGATAATGGCAATGTGTGGATTACATGTCAATCCTTTATGATTTAGGACACAATTGAAATACTTTGTGAATATCATTTAATTTATACTAAATAAGTATAATTAAAACTTGTCTAATATTGTTAAACTAACTACATTGTGATAGGTAGGTTGATGGATTAGGATTAGAATAGTTCATAATTATTTTTCTAATGAATAGTAAAAGTTTTTTTTTTGGGTCCATATAAGACCCATAATGAGATTCACAATTGCTCTCTAAACTTTCACCACAATTTAAATTTGATCTCGAAACACGTATTTAGAATTAAACGAGACTCACATGTGTGTCATATCATCATACTAACACATTTTTGTCGAAAACTTTAATGGATAAATTAATAGTGCATTTTTTTGTTATACTCACAAACCTCAAAATATTTCATGATCAATTTATCAAAGCATCATAAATCGACCACGAAATGTTTTGAGAATTAATTTTTTATCATAATACTTGTGAATTATACAATACTTTAAATTATTAATTATGGGAATTGTTATTGATACTTCAAAAATTTCATTCTATACTCCAAACTTTCTATATTTGGAAAGAAAAATATCAAACTTTCTATATTTAGAAAGAAAAATACACTTACGAGAAGTGTAGAATGAGATTTTTGGAATGACAATAACATTTTCCTTAATCAAACTCATGAATTGACAGAAATCTTAACGTCACAAGTAATATGAATTGGTTGCATCCACTTCGGGTTGGGTTCGGTAGCAAACGGGACAGACACACACTCTTTCCCTCACCTGGAGATGCGTGCGCGGTTTAAACTATGGCTGTCGTAGGGGAGAAACTGACCTGCTGCAACGTGAAACACGCTGTTATTTTCCGTTTCTGGATGAGAAACCCACTTTCCGATATTATAGACACGCGGCCAGCTCGCATTGGATGGAGTTGTTTTATTTGTTTGCAAAACGCAATCAGGATTCGCTTTACCCGATAACATGGCGGCAGTTGTAACGGCAGTTAAGTGCCATTTAGGACAAACCGAAAAATGAGATATCTCTGCTTGGTGATGTAACAGGATGCGAACAATGCGTCATGAGTCGACGCGTGTACTCCGATGCGTTGGGCTATCATTCGTTGATGGGAGATTACTAAGGAGCCCCTGTAGAAAGTCTGATTAGTGAAACATAAATTGTGGCTGGGTTGGTCCCTCTCCCTGATAAAAGTCTTTGGTAGAAATCCCACTTTCATGATCAAGTAGAATTTTGGATTATCGTGACATCTTTGATTAATGATATATTTATAAAACGAGATATATTAATGAATGATGTAATATTTATTGACATGTAAAGTCATCGTAGCGATTTACAAGTTACGTTACTTTCTAATACGAAAAAACCCCTTTGATTGTGAGTGTTATTATCTGAATTGCAAAACCGCTAATGTGTCCTATATTTCATACCGAAATATATTTCTTTAATTATTAGTTAATACACCGACAGTAAAGTGGAATGTCCCATTTACAAAAGACATCAAATTATAGACTTTTCAAAAATCATAAATCATAAGCCAAAACCAAGAACCTTTCATGCTCTTCGGGAAAGAGCAAGAAAAATTATGTTGGATGACATTTAATGATTGGTTATTTGTCAGTTAGTAAATTATTTGGCTTGTATAAAGGACTTAGAATCACTCCTTATAAGTTAAGTCAATTAATTAAGGTAGTATAATCTCCTCTTTACATGATGCGCAGTTTGAACCGCAATGCTGTTTGTACGGGATTTGCCTACAGAGTCGGTGGAGTTCGAAGGGAATGCGCAGCTAGTTCTTGTTGCATTATGACTTCATGCAGCTGGCGATACTTCTCTGTTGGGGAATGTGGTGAATGATGCTTGCAAGTTAATACGTACAATTCCCCACACAAACCTCACTTATAATCGAAGGGAGGCAAACAAGGGTTGCACATAGGCTGACAAGATTGTGATTGTCTTTAGATCAAAAAATAATTTGGTTTGAGAAACCCATGATGTAATCACGGATCTTATTTTTTAGAATAATACAACTTTGTTCTTTGTTGGTGTCTAACGCTCTTTTTTCTTTCAACCAGGATGAAATCCTCAATAAAATTTTAATTTTTCAAGACCATTTAAATGCACCATATCTTCCAATATGTACGTATTCTTTTGATATCATACTTGTTCTCAAAATATCTCAATTTGTAACAAAAACAACAAAAGACTTAAAAATCTTGCTCAAGAATAAGGATTTAATTAATTCATTTTCATATTATTAAATTTTTTATGGTTGTTGGCATAATATATAGCAAATGTCTTAAATGGATGTTTGAATGGCAATATAATAATGATAATATACAATTCATCACCTTTGATGCTTGAAAGATACACGCGTTTTTTTCTCACATTAATTATCGGATGTAGAGGGCGCATTAGCAACTTAAATATAGTTAAATGAGTTTATCATGGGAGCTTCACATGATTAACCAATTAAAATTACATTTAATCTTGACCCCTTCATATCGACCGTCTTTATACGTTAATCAAAGTCGCATGTATTGTCTTTAATTAATTTATATTTAAAATGGCAATGCTTGGTTATATCGTTGCACCACATCATCATGTTTGAATACAGATAGAATTGTATCTGATAGATAACAATTATCTATATTATCAAGGGATGGCTGTCGGAGTTGGGTGTGGAAGAAGGGAGGAAGGTGACTTGAGCTCGAAACTGTTTCGGGTTTTGTGGGTCGCTGGTATTTTGGCTGGACTCTTTGGTCGGCAGGCCGACGGCAGCAACTCCTTTGTTTTTTTGTCTTTTTGGTGTCCATAACGTTATAGGTGTTTTGAATGCCAAAAATGATATTCTTACTATATCATGTGTATTATATTTCTAACAGAGATGAGACTCACATGTGTTGATGGGTCTTACCTCTATTAGATAAATGGTAAGTGTAGCACTATTATGTATGAAGTGCCGATTTAGTTCACGAACTATCACCTCAGTGAAAATTAGGTCTTTTAATTATTTTTTTTTGGTAAAATAAGTCCCTTAATTCATTAAAATTGCTAATTTCATCCCTACAATTCAATTCAAAGCTAATTTATCCAATTTTCAGTCAACTTAAGTCACTTCACATACTTTAGAGCGTAATAACGTCATTTTATTGCCTATAAGCCTATAACATTTCATATTAGTTGCGAATCTAACTTCTAGTTTACCCTCCAAAGTTCACTTCATACACTATTTATGTATGAATCAATTTACCAATCTATCCTCCAATGTGTATCACATGCAAGTAATGGACTTAAATTGACGAAAAATTGTATATAGTAGTTTCGAATCTAATATTAGGGATGTAATTGGTAGATTTTTATAATTCAAAGACTGATTTTTGAAAAAATAATTTAGGGACCAAATTTTCATTTAAGTGATAATTCAAGGACTAAATTGATAATTCACCCCACCATTATTTGAATGCTCTATCTACAACTCAAGTTCTTGGATTTAATTTTTAATTTATCTTTTTGCTTTTTAATTTGTAAGCTTAACACAGTTAAATTGAGAGTTAAAGTGAGCGTCCACTTGTAAAACTATTAGGGTGTGTGTGTTGCACCAGACTATCTTGAATTGGACTAGCTTTAAGGACTAAGCTGAACTGTCTTAGAATAGACTAAGTTGGACTAACTTAGTGAAGCGCTTGATACATAGTCAGATTAAGAAGCAGGATAATTAACAGTGTTCTAAAAAACGCCCTAGGCGCTAGGCGTCTTGGAACCGAGGCTATTTTGTGCAAAATGGCTGGAAAAATAGGGGTGACCCTAGGCGGTGCTAGGCGGTTGGGTGGTTTTTTTTTTTTTTTTTTTTTGTGAAATTTGTTTAAAGTTTAAGTTCTAATTATACCTTGAAATTTTGTTAATTTTATAGAATAGGTGTGTTGTGTATCAACTTAAATTCCGAGATGCTAAAGATAAGTAGCTTACATTACTAAATTTCCTTATTTTCCTTCTATTTTTCATTTTATGTTGTTTTAAATTGTGAACTTGTTGTACATGTGTCATCCTACAATATTCCTCACTATGGTTATATGGCATATATGCTTAATGTGTTTTTAAATTTTGGATTTGTTGGATACTCTTTTTGCATTTTATCATTCTTTTATTATCTTATCAAGAATTTCATACAAGAATAATTTTTTGTAAGTGTCAATTTGCACTTATTTACAAGATATACAAGAAATTTACCTAAATCCGCCTAGGCGTTAGGTGCTAGCCCGCCACTGGACTAGCGCCTAGAGTTTTTCAGAACCTTGATAATTAATAAATTCTAATATTGTATTAATTTATCTATATCTCTATTAATATTTTATTCTTAATTCTCTCAATTTTTTTTTTGTCTCTTTTTTTTTTTTTTTTTTTTTTTTTTCTTTCTTCTTCTTCTGAAAACTTTTACTCTTCTTCGAAACCCAATTCCACACTTAGAGATCAAATCAAAACCAACTTTCTACAATTGCAT